AAAATTCAAAAACAATAATACTGTGCTTCGGGCTATATAAATAATTATAACCAATTATTTATAAATAATTGCCATGATTATTACGCTTAAAACTTGATACCTACGATATAAGTATATTTTGATGTTACTGTTGGTAGTTATTTAAGAATGTTGGTAATTTTTAATCAACTTTACAAAAAAAGGATGTTATCAATTCGTTGCGGTCTTCAATTTTGTCTGTATGTTACGTAAGTCGGTGTATCACTTCTCTATTCGGTTATTAACTACCTGATTGCAAATTATAACATAAAATATATTTTTTATAAAACCAACTTAATTCTTGATAAAATTCGTACTTATGAAATACATACATAGGTATCTATATATTATGAAATCATTATGGCAATAAATCCTTTGACTGAATTTAAGGTTTTATGTCACTTTAAAATATCACTATCAGAATACATCACATACAATACATCACTATATTACTGGTATTGAATAGAACTTTTGAAGTCTTTTTAAGGTATTTACATTACAATATACGAAATTAAAATAAATAATTTATAATATTATTTAAAAATAACCAAGAAGTAATAAATAGTATTGTAACTATTTGTTCAATTAACTCCTGAAGCAAATTAAAGGGTATTTATTATAAAATTGTCTCTAACTATTAATGTGCGATTATAATTCCTTAATACAATGCATCTAGCATTGTAATCAATAAAATAAGTAAAACCTTTATTAACAGTACAATTAATTTTGTCTAAAAGTGATTTAATAAAAACTGTTACAGGTTATGCTTCATTACAGATAAGTAATTAATTACCTTGTGTTCTTTCTAGATCCTAGTGTTTTCCTAATTATTTTTAAAGGGTTTACCAATGTGCAGACTGTTTTATTTATTTATTAAATTTTAATACACCTAGGCAGTGTAAATGGCAGACTTAACATCATATAGCGTTATCTATTAGTCGACCGTAGATAGGAATAACAGAAAAAATAACTGACAATACTATATGAATAATAAATCGTTTAAATATATATAAAAATTACAATAAAATAAATCCAATTCGATATATATATATATATATATATATATATATATATATATATATATATATATATATATATATATATATATATATATATATATATATATATATATACCATATTTATGTATATGTATAATATGTTATTTTAAATCTGATGAAATAACTATGAGTTTTTTCTAATTTTTTTATAATTTTAAGTAACGAGGGAAACGCCAGCATCAGACAAAGCAAAACGTCTAAAACATATTACGATTCTATAGATAAAAAGATCGTAGTATATACTTGAATGACAATTTGCTTGGGGCATTCCATGGCAACGTATGGGTGAAACAGTATACTCTGTTATGTCCATGGTTCTGCTCATGTCTATAGGCGATGGTTATCAGGTCAGCTTGTTTGCAAGTTGTATAAAAAAAATTTCAGTGCTTGATAGCCTGAGTGGCGAAAAAAATAGACAAAAGTCAGTGTATTGGACAGGAACATGGAGAAGGAGATTTCTAGAAGAACGAAAACAATGGTTATTATTTATCATTATATTTATTATTTTTTATGGTCAGCCCATAAGGCATTCCCCTTTTTCCTTGAAGATATTAAGTATAAAAGTAGATATCATTCGCACTATTTTTCAAATTAATATACGAACCTGTCTGTTTCTACTTTCTGCGTCAGCACCTAACTTTCGATGTAAATAGGTATTATTAACTACAGCTAAGTACTAACTCTATATAAAGAGTTAACCCGTTTCAAATAATATACTCTCTCGGTAAGATATATCATCATCATTCATAATAATGATGATGATTGTTATTTGTATGGTGCATATTTAAAAAACGCATTATGTATTCATATTAGACATTGGAGTCGATTCTTTGGCGCCATTTTTCTAAACCTATCACTAAAATTATAATTTTAATTTGACATCACAGCAAAATCTTTATTATGAGGAAAAATCAATATGAACTACATTTCTAATAGACCGTAGTCAAAATTATTACAAATTTAGTTTATAAAGATTCAAAAACAATAATTTTACGAAAGGGTCAAATTAAAATATTACGTTACGAGATAATTTAAGAGAAATAGCGCCTCATAATTGTCCCAATTGTTTTTCTTTTAAACAGGATTTCTATTAATTTTCGTCTTAAAATTAAGTATGTGTGTTTACTGTTTGTTTCATAAATTATGTAATTACATAAACCTAAATACGATGCACAATCTCTACAGTGATTTAATGGAGAGTAAATTTATTATCTATTTCGTCATAAGTAAAATTTTCAAGGATATTTTGTTCAGAAGTCGAGGGAGTAACATAGTGACCACTCTTTGATTCTTTTTTAGTCTGTACCGCCATATAAGTACATAACCTACATCTACGTCGCCGTAAGACTCCCTCAGAGACCTTGGACAGTGGTTATCGGTATAATTACTATCATTTACGGATTTTTCACATTATCATCAGCCACACAAGTTGGTAGCATAGCAGACGTAGTACCTAACTATTATTTAATAGATTCTATATTCACTAGTTAGTTTATAGTACGGTATATAGCAAAACGACAGGCTTATATTATTTTTCTAATAAATGAAAATTGAATTATGCTGCTGTTGGTTTTCAGTAGCATAGTACATGAGAGGGATGATAGGTGAGGTCGTTTAGGTTAATTAGTTTGTCGTGACAAATTCACCAGAAATTAATTGTTTTCCAGAAGGATAGGTACATAATTACCAAATAAGGACCTTGGTGCCTATTGCTAAAGGTCTTCCCATATTTAGTGATAGCGCCTGTTTTGACATATGAAGTTTAACGTCACTATTGCTAATATGATGTTGTATTATATCGTCATGTACAATTTTCACTCGAATTTGCCTGTTAGTATGAATTGTAAATAAAAAATAAATATTCTCACGATTATAATTTTTCATGTATAGATACATTTTTCAACTTTTGCTGTTGTGATGAATTCAACATTCTACAAATTACAAATTCAGTATTGCCCACATTTGACCGAGCACATTAGAATTCAACATAGCAAGGAGCAAACATACGTTCATTACTAAAATTATTCTAATTCATTATCGGTATTTTGCATCACCATAAATTTAGTTGGAAATAAAAAATAAAAAAACACAAAGTTCTTGTTGTTCGATTTTAATTCAGGACCTTAACGTTCTGTAAGTCGGGGTTATATACCATCAGACATAATACTCTCAATTCACTTAACTTAGTTATATTACTTAACTAAAAATTATTAAAAACATTTCTAACTATTAATATTAAGTACTTTAATTTGTTGTAAGGAGTACCAGGCATCTAAAAAATCCTTAGAGTAATGTTGTACCAGTAATTTGCAATTTATCCAGTTCGAATCTTTCCTTTTGTTTGCGTGCCCTAATATTGTCTATAATAATTTATCCTAATGTAGAACATCAAAATTGTAACACTATGGAAGGCAATAATGATATTCAATTTATTTGAATGCTTTCTCTGAAAAAAACTGAAGGTTAATAAAATAAATTAAAAAAGTCTCCCATAGCACGTTCTTCCGTTTGCAACTTTAAAAACACGAGTAGGTATCATGAAATTTTATTGAATTTAGTACCACATAGAATCATTACTTAATTGCACAATGCAACTGAGAGTATATTGCACTTAATTAGTTACATAGGGGGGAAAGGGTTTGTTAGTAATAGGTTCTAACAGCCCCATTGCTAGCAATATATCCTATCAGATCGACCTCCACGCGGTTCCCCTGGAAATCATCGTGGTTAATTCTTGTCGAATTCATTACGACGGGTCGACTGACCTGCTTTCATCCTCACCTATCATCTATAACTGGTGCTCCGCTAGCGTATACAGATATCGGAGTTACCATTCCATTTTCACACATTAAAAAAAATTGTTACATACTTAATATGAACTATTTTATTGTACTTTTTTATCTTTATTTGTAGTAGTAACTACATTATATGGTTACTGAATATATTCAGCAAATACGAATTTATTTACTTATAAATTGTTCACTACACTAAGAATTTCCCAAAACGTGTAGTGAGCCATAGATTTATTTGATAAACTTAAAAATTTTAAACAACATTTAGAAAATCTATCTAATTTATCATTAAAAATATCAATATCTGGCGGCTGAACAATCAGAGAATGTTTGGTTTATACTTATAAACTGAAATCAACAATAGGATTTAAATGTGGTAATAAGTAGCTGCAATATATTTAATTTTAATCGAAATAATTTGTAACGAGTAGGATTTGAACCCGAATCACTTACCGTACAGCCAGCGCATCTAACATTTTTTTACATAAATTACTTTTGTTATGTATAATTTGTGCCTCTAGTATTTTTTTTTTATATTCATATGTTAATAGCCTACTTCGACCCTAATTTTACTAGTGGTTAAGAATACTTCAGAGTATCCTATTCTATTGGCATCGTATGTTTGTACTTTGCAGACAGCAGCTGACGTGTAGAAAGTATTATTAATGTTATTAGGCTTAAGCAACTAATGGGACTGCAAGCAATATACTTTATCAGGTCGATCTCCACGCAGTGTTCCCTAAGACCCATCGTGATTTATTCCTGTTAAATGCGTCACAGCGGGCCAACTGACCTGATTTTTTCTTACCTATTATCATTCACTGGTACCCCGCTAGCGTATACGAGGTGATAAAGAGAGATCAGTAGTAGTGAATTGGTTTTCAGAGGGGATGGCATAGAAGGCGATCTAATAAGGTAAATATATAAAATATATAATAGGGCCCTGAATTTAATCACTAATCATATCCTCCACGTCCTGTTGCCTTAATGAGATATCCGTAATTAGGCTTAATCTTATATATCGTGTGTTACTCATTTTGTTGTCATTGGGATAGGTATGATAATGAATTTGATGTGCAAATAACGTAATTACGATACAGTAGAAAGCCGTGAGTAGAGGGGCGGTGCGCGGGTCGCATCACGCCGCGGGCGCAGTGGCCCCGCAGAGCGCGTGCGAGTGGCTGCCGCTGACACAGTGTCAGTGCGTCTTGTCCCGCGGAGGCACCGACACCGCGCCCGCGCCCGCCACCGCCGCCGCCTCGAGCGCTACGCTGCTGACCTGTATAAAGCAGAGGCCCCGCGAACACTCGCACGCAGTTACAGCCCGGACACGATATTCCGTGCACTCACTAGCCACGCGTCTTACACTCCAAAACAATTCGGGACAATACACTTACAAGCGGCGAAGTCAGTTTACCTATCTGTTATAATGACTGAACACGAATGGGGATACACATGCGAAAACGGTGAGTTTACCTCCTCTCAGTTCTCGGTAATCGTTCACTTGAAATGCGAAGCAAGCGGCGAGGACCGGTTTGTTTACGTCGAGGCACGTGACTTATCCTATGTAAATATACAACTTGTAAATAAAGTCGATGGACTTAAGCGATCATCACTTGCAACTTGCAACCATCTGGACCTCCTTAGATAAACTGAAATGAATATTTTCATAATCATACAACCGTTATTCAACACGGATTTGAAAATGTAGGTAGGTACATTGATGTGATTTCAGAAGTTAGGAATAATATGTGTCGTTCCGCAAATTAGGTAGTTAACAATTTGTTTCTATTCATGCAACACCTGTTGATATTACTTAAATAATGATAAGAATGTAATTCCTTTTATTTAATTATAAAGCAAGTGAATATTTATTAGCTGTTGATTCTTTATGGCTATTTACATACGAAATATGAATAATCGAATAAATTAAACATTTTAAAATTAATCAATAAATTTTTATTTTAACGAAAAATATTCGTTAAAAATTATATTTCTTTTAGATTTTTCTATTACGTACAATATACCTTCGTCACGATAACAAAAAAATTATTATTAATATTCTTATCATTTTAATGACTTGTTTAAAGAATAAAAAAAATTGTAGTTTAAATCTATTATCTACATAAGACGTAAGTAACTTCTCAATATTTATATATAACTATCTCTCACAAATTCTTTAAATAAGTAATCAAGTTTTGTGATTAACTATTTATATTAACCATTATTTCCATCTTTGCCATATCTTTCGTACATATTTTTTAATTTCATTTACAATAATAATATGCGATTATTTCCCTGTATATCTTCACACCAGATCCCTAACAGGATAGATAGCTCTATATCATGTCATCTTATGTAAAATACACAGTACACACGGATCCGTAAAATGGATCCCGCCGTTACACTGGTACTGCTACACGCTAGTCATTATGCAATAAAAAAAATCAGGACAATCCATACAAAAACATTTTTGATGAGCTAAGAAAAGATCCTGTTCAATTATGTAAATTAATACTATTATTCATCTTGTTTAAATTTATTAAATTCCTTTACAAATGTCTTCTGAAATCAATCTAAACAAATTATTTTTAAATTATTTAAAAGACATTAATTTTTTCAGAATCTTTCAGCCTGTGCCTATTACTCATTACAGGAAGTAGGCACTGTATTTGTAACGGAGTCTTCCATCAATAAATTTCTTTTTGTTTGTCATATTGCGAAAGTCAAACAAATAGATACGTAGAGTACTTAATTACTTGCCTACATATTTTGAGATTGTTGTGTTATTTTTACGGTAATCTAGGCAAACCTAAGAATAGTGTCAAAAGTGTAGTGTTGCGTGCAGCGAATGTTGGCCTAGTTAATCAGTTCGAAGACTCAACTCAAATTATACTTCTTCTTCTACTTTAAGCAATTCGCCTACTGATTTCTTCATTATGAAGCCATTTTCTAAAGATAACTGGCTAATCCATTAATAATCTGCCTACATATTCTTTACGTATCTAGTTACACCTTAATAGGCCAATGATCACATCGTACGGTTCTCAAAACTCGTTTATCAAATTATCATTAGTTTTATTTTTAATATATATATTTGAACACTTAGGGAGATTTTAAGTTTGAACAATAATATCTACATATAATAACAAGTTACCACTTTCAACATATTGGCCGTCCGCTTAACTATAAATGGCAAATAAGCGAAAGACCAACCTGTTGGAAGTGATAATCATCAACTTTAAATATTATCAGCACCATGGATATTGCATATATTTATCACACTATGATGCCTGTGTTACCACTTGCTATTCCTGGGGACTATTAAAGTATGTCTACAACATATTACTTTAATAGTCCCCAGTTGGTATATCTGTATACATGTTGTAATTTTCCTGCCATATCCTATGTACTAACCAAAAAATAATCATAAAAATACAGCTACTTGATGTCAGGAACATGAATACTTTTCTAAGAAATATGCATACAGAACCAACTAAATATATATTCTTTATGTTTAATCACAGACACTTTATTTTCCTAACGCCAGACGCAATTATCTATTTAGATTTCTTTGAACACATAATAAGATAAGGTATATATTTTATTGGTTGAATAATTTTAAATACTTTTTGCAAACAACTAAAACACAGATCTATTTAAAATCACTTACTCAAACTCTTCCAATGAAAAGAGCGATAATAGCAAACATTTTGTATAAGAACCACTAAAAACAAAAGCAATGTATTTCAGATCGTGGATAGTCATCCGTCTTATCCATTATAAAAACTACTTAATCTCTACAGTAATCACCGAAACTGACTTCGACAATAGAACTGGCTAATGATGTCTGTAAGACTTCATTACCTCCTTGCATTCATACAATCATATGTTAATTTTCATATAATGTTTAAGTAACCTCTCGTTCATAAAATAGCAGTCTACTTGAAAGCCCCAGAACTGATTTTAGACACATGAGCATGTCATTTATGAAATGGACCATGACGGCTCTCTTTGTCTCAACTGAACAAATGAACATTTGTAAAAAAATACAAAAGCAACTTGATGTTCTACTTATTTATTATAATTATTTACTAATACATGATGTTAAAGAAGAAACCGTGACATTGATTTATGATGGTTCATATGTAGGCAACGCAAACTTTTTTGTGAACAAAATAAGATAAAAAAAATAGCAAATTAAGTTCCTTGTTTAACTAAGAACTTGTTTATATTAATTTTTCTATTACATAGTTTTAAGGAAGCAAAACCAATCTTATTTTGTATCCTGAATTCATATAATATAAATATGGAACTTAAATCGTAATTTGGAATGCTTATTAAAGATATGTTTCGAATAAGGAATACTAGTAAAAGCAAATAGTGTTTGGAAATATTATATTATACGGTGATTGACTAAGCTATATTTAAACATTTACGTTAAATCATTTAAAAAATATCTTGTACATCAGTGAATTAAAAAGAATCATTGCAGAGTTTTTTTGCGGGTTTTTTTCAGCATATAAACTTTCCGAACCCAATAGCAGAATTATAAAAAAATAACGTTTTAAATTGAAATTTCTAATTAAATTTTTGCAAGTAGATAAATTCAAATTTTTTATTATTAGTAAGGTTGTGACTGAAGCCCGTGAATATAATATGAATTTACCATTAAAATTCCTTTCTAAAGTTTTTTCGCGATTTCACTACATGTTTATATGAATTCAAACATTCATATAGTCGTCGTAGCTATTGGAAATATACCCAATACCTCCAAATAAAATGATAATGGTATAAGGATATATAAAAACTATTTTGACTAGGTTTTAATGGACGAACTAGATTCAACTTTTATCTATGTATATACATAGTTCTAGTTTTTTATGAACAGGCTTGCAAATTATCTAAATCACTTAGCAATATGAATTTCGTTTTAAGTTACATTTTTTAATTTAAAAAATAGAAATTAATATTATTAAATAGCCAATTTTCAATAATTTACTTGTAACTAGAAATTAAAAAATTATTATTTTCCAAACAACTTAATATATAATTTTCGGTTAATTATGACTAACTATCACTTCAGTTTTGTCTTAAAAGTTGATATCTTTAAATACATAACAAATCATCATCACCGCAATATCATCCACTGCTGAATATAGGCGTCCCCCTATTGGAGAAGGGTTGCAATGCTTAGCAAGCGGGTTAAAAATCACAGTCAGAATTTTGGTGAGGTTTTAGAAAGACGCTGCTGCCCATTCCTTGAACATTAAGACCCCCGTAGTCGCCACTTAACCACGGGAAAGGAAGGGATAGCCCATTCTATGCCGGGACCACACTACGAACGTAACAATTATACACTAAAAATTGCAGCAATTTCTATGCTCGGGTAATTTAGTGATATTCTAGACATACTACAAATTTTCATCTTTTATCTCCTTAAATGTTTTCACTACTAAAAAACCCGCCATATCAAATACACTTTTCGCATTAATTGCGTAAAATTTGCGAACTAGTACCTAATTTCTTTTCTGGTTTATACGAAAAAAAAAATCATATTTTTTAACTCCGCAATTCTTCAGTTATATTCATTAATTTTTTGGCGGGTTTACCGATATTTAAGTTGACGTTTTCAGGCATAACGTGGAAAGAAACTACTTGTTATATGGTAACTGCAGTTAATGAACTGTGATCAAAATTCGTTTTTAACACTATTCGAAACACTATCTGCAGGTAAATGTAATATTTCTAAAGTGGTTGCAAGTTTTTCAACGCCTATAATTTTTTGATGCATATGAGATTTATAACCGTGACCTATTTATACTTCCTGAAATCTTTTGCTGGTGAGTTTTCTTTGCATGAACTACTTTCTGTAAATGAGAGGCAACGAGTTCAATCGTCGGACAAACCTATTTAGGAAACATACTCTCCTAAATTGGCTCAAGTTTGGATGTTCTGGTTTGTTCTTCCTAGATATTTAATGTCTAACTTCTCGTGTGAAGATGTTATTATAGTTATTTGTTCAATATTTCCAAATTCAAATCACTTTTTGTTAATTAATACTATACTTATGTCTCAACAAGCGCAAAAATAATAAACAACGTTGAACCAATAGCAAGTTTCTGTTGGGACACATTTTTTTTATACCCCCATTATCTACTAATCATATAATAATTTCAGAAAATCTCTTCTCGGTACGTTATTTATTTATCTTACCTATACAAGGAATATTTGTGTATCTTGACTCAGCTTGAAGATCAGTCGGTCAGTTTCTTTTAGCTCAACAAAATTAGAGCGCCAGTAGTAAACATAAGTACATTCAATCAGAATGCTATTTCAGAGATGTTTTCATTTTATAGTCCTTTTCATTCGTAAACAAACGTGCTCTCATAAAGTTGTTGAAGTTTTACATCCCTTGCTTTTCAATAAACTGCAATAAATAGCCACACGTACCTATTCTTTATGG